GGGGAGGCACAGGAAGACTTTTGCCTCCATTTGTTCTGTAAAGTGGGTGGGTCAAGAAGGGGTTAAAGCGGAGCCTGAGCTCTGATCCTGGTGGGGCCACTGATGACGACTAGGGCCCTCCCAAATTCAGGCCCATTTTGGTCAATTTCTCAGCCTGGAAGGGGAGGGTGTGAAAATTGGTCAATTTCACATCTGAAATCACATGTTGGTGTAACGGGAGGGGGGAGGGGAGTCTGCATTTAGAAAGAAGCCTGTAGTATAGGAGGGTGAAATACTTTCCAGTCCATTACTAACTAAGGAGGATGTTAAATGGCATCTAGTATGGATGAATGGTCTAAAATCAGCAGGCCCATTTAGCCTGCACCCAAGAGTCCTAAAAGAATGGGCCCAGGCGCTCTCCGACGCGTTTCTGTTACGTTTTACTAAATCTTGGAATACTGAGGCAGGAAGCGTGCTGATGTTGTGCCAATATTCAAAGAGAAGCATGATTCAGGTAATTCAAGGCTACTTAGCCCGGCATCAATCCCAGACAAATAACTGAAAGCTGCTATGGGAATCGATTCATACACACTAAACAAGGGCAATACAGTTAGAATCATAGAATTATAGGACTGGAAGGGACCTCGAGAGGTCATCGAGTCCAGCCCCCCGCCCTCAAGGCAGGACCAAGCTCCATCTACACCATCCCTGACAGATGTCTATCTAACCTGTTCTTAAATATCTCCAGAGAGGGAGATTCCACCACCTCCCTTGGCAATTTATTCCAATATTTGACCACCCTGACAGTTAGGAATTTTTTCCTAATGTCCAATCTAAACCTCCCCTGCTGTACTTTAAGCCCATTACTCCTTGTCCTGTCCTCAGAAACCAAGAGGAACAAATTTTCTCCTTCCTCCTTGTGACACCCTTTTAGATATTTGAAAACCGCTATCATGTCCCCCCTTAATCTTCTTTTTTCCAAACTAAACAAGCCCAGTTCATGAAGCCTGGCTTCATAGGTCATGTTCTCTAGACCTTTAATCATTCTTGTCGCTCTTCTCTGTACCCTTTCCAATTTCTCCACATCTTTCTTGAAATGTGGCGCCCAGAACTGGACATGGCAGCCAAGACGGCGTTAGGAAACACAGGGCTTGTCAAACACACTTGATCCCCTGTTTGGTGAGGTCAGTGTTATTGATGAAAGTTACCGTTCAGACTTTCATAAGGCATTTCACGTAGTCCCATGCAACGTTCTCATCTTTAAAAAAACAGCGCTACCCAACACCAATACAACACACGTTCCGATAGATAAACATCTGGCAAACTGAGGCTATGTCTAGACTACAGGCTTCTTGAGCAAGAACCTTTTTGCAGAAGAGATCTTCTGCAAAAACATCTTGCGCAAGAGAGCGCCCACGCTGCAAAAGTGCATCGAAAAAGCGATGCACTTTTGCGAAAGAGCGCATCCAGACTGCATGGACGCTCTCTTGCAAGTAAGCAGTGATTGCTATGGACAGAATGGCCACCAAGGAACCTGGGCTTTTTCCTCTTTCCTCTTCTTGAGCAAGAAACCCTTCTTGCCGGTCCACACATGCCTTTTTGCAAAAGAGCTCTTTCGTAAAAAGGAGTGATTCCTTTATTCCTTGTAGAATGAGCAATACCTACGCTGGACACACCCCTCTGTTCTTTCCTTTTACTTGCGCAAAAACGCACTTGAAGTGTGGACGCTCTGCGAGCTTTTGCGTAAAAACAGCTGGTTTTGTGCAAGAACTCTAGAGTCAACCTAGCCTGAGAGATGTCAAAAACCGCCCAAAGAGGAAGCCTCATGGAAGGCTTGTAGATGTGTGCTTGGCCTCGCCATACCATGGTTTTATCAATGAGCTGGAAGTAAATAGACAGTCACGGCTGATAACATTTGCAAGTGATGCAAAGATCAGAGAACCTGTAACTCAAAATGGGACAGGGCAGACATAGAGCAATGCAGGCTGGGCCTCCAGAATAGGGGACTGTATCCTGGATTGGTGGAGGGTGGGGAGGTCAAAGAGGACAAAAAACCTCACTGTGAGCTTCTAGTCTGGTGTTAATGCCTGATGAGATCCCTGGCTGGAAACGCAGGGGAGTGGGCTCAAGGAAACGATTTTACCTCTGCCCGCAGGATACTGGAATACTGCAGCCAGCTCTGGTACCTGCGCTCGGGACAGGGAGGTTGAAAGGGGGCAGAAAAGGGCCAGGAAAACGCTGCAAGGGCTGGAGAACCCGCCTGGGGATGAGTGATTTCAGCTGATCAGCCTGCTTAGCTTATAAAAAAGGAGGATTGAGAGGTGACAGGATTTGAGCCTGGCTGCACTTTTGCCGGGGAGAAAACAGCCGGCTTGCAAGGGCTCTGGGCGCCGGTGGAGAAAGGCAGGACAAGAACCAACGGCTGGAAGTTGAAGCCAGATGAGTTCCCCCCAGAAATAAGGCGCAAATGGGGCACTGCTGGGGTACCGGGATGAAGCTCGCAGGCCTGTGCATACAGGCAGTCCGACTAGATCAGGGTGGGCACGTCGGCTCGCGGGCGGGATCCGGTCCGCTATATTTACCCGCGTGGCCACAGATACGGGAGACCGCAGCTCTCATTGGCTGCGGATCGCTGTTCCCAGCCAATGGGAGCTGTGCAAAGTGCTGTCCAAGTCTGCGCCACTTTCCACTGCTCCCATTGGCTAGGAACGGTAAGCCACAGCCAATGGGAGCTGCGATCGCCAGGACCTGCGGCGGTGCAGGTAAATAAAGGGGTGGTGCCCCCAGGGATTAGGTATCGCCCGTCCCTGGACTGGACGATCTGATGAGACGTCTGGGCTTAACGTCTGTGACGGGAAACCTGCGATTCCGCGAACGGCATCTTATGAACGGCTGGCTCTACGCACGGTGTCTCGGCAGAGACGGAGGAAAAGCGAGAGGCGCAGGACAAGCGGCATCCCTTCCCGCGCGAGGCCGGGGGTGCAAGGAACGGGCGTGGCCGGTGGTTCGCAGGCCGAAAGGAAAGCGCCGTACAGCGGCTCCGACGTTGGAGCCCCCAGGATTTCCAGCTCTTCTGTTTCCTGAGCTTCCCATGCTGGGACTCCCTCGAGCCCCGGCGTGCCCGTAAACCAGAGTCACGTGACTGGATTTTGAGGGGAGCAGCCCGATCACTGCTGCACCCACGGGGGGTATTTGCCCCAAAAGTTAATACAAAGGGGGCCATGTGAGGTGTCAAACAAAAGCCCGCCTCCTACTGATTCTGTGTGTGTTCTTCATAGATCTGTATAATGTCTGTGTGTGGAGTTAGGAATCTGTGCTCTGTATGGAGACTGGAAGTTTCTCTGTAGATAGTTGAGCAATGGGCTCAACCTATGGACATGCTAATTAGCAAGCCGCCAGGAACAATAGGTCTCTTAAGTACCAGAGACCCACCTGGGAAGGAATTTAGGTGCCTGGTCAGAGACCTTGTGACTGTCTCCAGCTTGGAAGAAGCCAGGGAGGGATATAAATAGGCCATGTGGCCGACTCTATCTTGGTGCTCAGCTCAGCTCTTCATCCCAGAGGCAGCCTTGCAGGGATCGATGAGCAGGAAAGACCTGTGGACCAATCCTGACATAGGATGTGCACCAAGGACTTTTAAGCCAGCAGCTGTAACATCTCTGCTAGAGCCTGCATGGAGAACTGGGAGATTCGATGCATGTAATGTAGGATACTTTGACAACCTCACTCTCATGCTTTTCTTTCTGGTAGCAATAAACCTTTAGATGTTAGTTGCTAAAGGATTGGCCCAGCGTAATTTGTGGGTAAGATCTGGAAGGTAAATTGACCAGGGATCTGTGGCTGGTTTCTTGGAACCGGACAGAACTTGTTTGGGGTAGGTGTGATTGGGTGCTAGGACCCCCCATCTGTGTATGAGGCCCGGGGCCATCTGAGGCACGGATATTGCGGGGGGTTGGAGGGGTTTTGCTCAGAAGGCTTCAGGCAGGCTCTGTGGGACTGGGGTTTTGCTCGTGAGGCTTCTGGCTGGCCAGGCAGGCAGCTGAAGCGCTCTGGGGGACTGGTTTGTGGCCTGTTTGGGAAGGTCACCAGTCAGGGGCTATAAAGAGTCCCGAATTTGAGCAATTTGCCCTGAGCGGACGCCCTCAGTGGTGCCCAGACCCGGCCCGGTCCGTCACAACCAGACGCTCTGCTGGCCTCCACACCGATGCAACCCCCCCAGCCTGCAGGGACTTGGGAAGAAGTTGGATCCCGATGGGGCCACAGCCGCTTAAGGGCCCCTGTTTTTGTGCTCGGAGGAGGAAGGAAAAGGCTGGCCATGTGCCTGTCTTTGCGGGATGGCTGTACACCGGCCAGCTGTCCATCGCTAGAACATAAGAACATAAGAACGGCCGTACTGGGTCAGACCAAAGGTCCATCTAGCCCCGTATCCTGTCTGCCGACAGTGGCCAGCACCAGGTGCCCCAGAGAGGGTGGACCGAAGACAATGATCAAGCGATTTGTCTCCTGCCATCCCTCTCCAGCCTCTGACAAACAGAGGCCAGG